GGCTTATGATGGGAAAAGCCCAAAAAGGTAGAGAAAGGAGAATAAATATGAAGGCCCAAAAGGGCCCTACTGAGGACTGCAGATCCATGAAATAGGCTTCCTTTGAAATATTTTTTTCATTTTAACCAAAAGAAAAAGAAAAAAAAAAGAAGAAGGAAAATGAATACTGAAATAAGTGAGAAAGAAGGAGTTTGGAAAGGGAAGATTATCAATTGTTGTATAGTTATTATTAGGCCTAAAAAAATAAAGGGATGTTGCTCACATGCTTGTGGCCGTTCCCCTCTGAAAAATTACCTCTGTTCAAATTACACCATCTACTTTGGTCTCTAACACGTACATTTCTCTACTTATTCACCAATGAAAATTTATTTTCTTTTTAAAAAAATTTTATTTTCACTTTATATGATATACATTTGCAGTAAAATTTGCAGTCTAACAAAATTAAAATGTTGGATAACAGGGTGTAGTCACTAGTATAATAATAACAATAATATTATTATTATTTTATAGGACAAACTAACTTATTAAACCTCTTATGAGGAAAAGAGATAAAGAGGGAGAATGAGGATTTAAATTTTAATTATGGAAGTGAAAGAAATGCTTTTCTTGCCAATAATTTTTTTCTTTTTTTATGATAAATTCTTGCCACTTATTTAATCAAAGACTTTACGGGCCTTAGTTAGTATAATAATTATTTTATAATTATTTTATTTGCCTTAATAATGATTTTTAGATAAAAGAAGAATATGAGGTTTCTGATATACTAATAAGAAAAGCCCATAAAGCTAGCAATGATATAAAGAGAGAGTGAAAAGGGCCCTAGCCCTGTCACGAAATGGGCTACAGTTTATTTCAATTAAAAAATGAAAAAGAAAAAATGAAGAAGAAAGAAGACAAACAACGAGGGTCCTGTCAACGTTGAATCAATTCCTGGCACCAAGAAACCTGTGCTTAATGGCAGATAGTTCTGCAACAACTTGTTTCATCTCCATTCTCTCATTTGGAGACTCCACTGAGCAGAAGACTCCCACTCTTGCAACTTCCGACAAGCTTTCCAAAACACCAGTTCTTCTTCCCATGTTGTTCTTTGCCCTGGAATGTTCAATACCTCTATTATCTGTCACATGTATTTCTTGTAATAACGAGGGTTCAAGAATTTCCATCACTCTCTCTGGCAATGCAGTTTTGGTGAATTGGTGAATGTTGAAACCATCGTTGAACATAGGATCAGTTGGTCGCTTTCCTATAATCATCTCTAACAACATAATTCCAAAACTATACACATCTCCTTCCATAGATGCCTTGCTACCCATGCCATATTCTGCATTTTGTTTGTTCATTGTGTTAATAGGTACACATAACCACATAAAGGTAAATCAAATATAGTAGAGGATTAACAGTGAAAAATTAATTAATAAAACTTAGAAACATTTACCTGGGGGAATATAACCAACTGTTCCTTTTATTCCAATGGAGCTGTTCTGTTCTCTGGAAGCATTGCTATGATTGCTCTCGTCTCGGAATATGCTTGATAGCCCAAAGTCACCCACATGTGCAACCATGTCATGATCAAGTAGAACATTGCTTGGCTTAAGATCTCCATGAACTATAGTTGGTTGGCAATAGTAGTGGAGATATTCAAGTGCAAATGCAACATCAATGGCTATATTTAGTCTTTGGATGAAGTTGAATTTTCCCACTTCTACTTGATTTTCATGTGGATGCAACCACTCTTCTAAACTTCCATTTTGCATGAACTCATAAACAATAGCTTTAAAATCACTTCCTTTAAAATCTATACTCGAACAAACAGTTATGAGTTTTATTAAATTTCGATGTCGAATGTTGCTCAGTGCTTCACATTCAGCCAAGAAACTCTTAGCAGCCCCTTTTTGTTTAAGATTTAGCACCTTCACTGCAACTATCATTCCATTTGTAGTTAGAATTCCTTTATAAACGGAGCCAAAACTTCCCTTGCCTACCAAATTTGATGGTGAGAACTGATTGATTGCCTGACTTAGCTCTGCATAAGAAATTTGTGGAAAAAATTCTTTCTCTTGCACAATGGTAGAAGCTCTCCTTTTAGATTTCTTTCTGTATGAAAAAATAGCAAGAAGAACTATAATCAAGAATAATGAGCATGAAGCGATTATTGGAATCACCACCTTCAATTGTTGGAACTTCCCTTTCTTTCTCATGACTTGACATGGAGGAAGTCCTAATTGCTCAATACCTCCACAAAGTCTCTGATTTCCATTAACCGAAATAATACTTGCATTTTTGAAGATCCCTTCAATTGGTACCTCTCCATCAAAGTTATTGAAGGACAAGTTTAGGTTTTGCAGCAAAGTGAAATTTTGGAGATATTTTGGAACTTGGCCTGACAGATTGTTTCTAGAGAGATCAAGGTCTTCAAGGTTTTTCAACTTGCTAAATGAAGATGGGATGCTTCCTTCAAACATGTTATCTTGCATCCAAAGGCCTTGCAGCATCAAACATTTTCCCAAGGTGCTTGGAATTTCTCCCGACAATCTATTGTGTGAAACCAACAATCCTATTAGGTTGGACAAGTTACCCACTTCTGAAGGCAATTGTCCTATTAAAGAATTTCCAGGTACAAAGAGGACAAGCATTGAAGGTAGGCTTAAGAGTTGTTTTGGTATGTTTCCAATAAGGTAATTGTTGCCAAGGAGAAGCTTTCCAAGTTGTGAACAATTTGCCAAACTAGGTGGAATTATGCCACTTAGATTATTGTCCTGCAAACTCAAGTCTTGTAATTGAGTGATATTCCCAAGTGAGGAAGCGATTAGACCTGAAATTCCATTCTCAAATAGCTCGAGTCTAGCTAACTTTTTTAGTTTGCCAATACTAGAAGGAATTTCACCTGTAATGTAGCTCCTACCTATTTGCAGCCATGTTAAGCCAACGAGGTTCCCAATCTCATCAGGAATTTTACCAGAAATCTGATTTTTCCCTAGGGACAAAAGTTCAAGCTTGGTTGAGAGATTAGCAATTGAAGCAGGTAATTCACCTTTGAAACGGTTATTGGTTAAATCCAATTGTCGAAGGTTGGTGCAGTTGATTAAAGAAGTTAAAAAACCCAAACCTTCATCTTCGGAAGTTTCCAACAGATTATCGTCAAGTCCTAGGGATTCAAGATTCCATAACCTTCCAAGGTTTGAAGGTATGACTCCGCTCAAATTATTGAATGGAAGATTGACCACTTGTAGCTTTGAGGCATTGAGTAAAGAAGCTGGTATCTCCCCATGTAAATAGTTGCAACCGGCCGCAAAATATTGGAGATTAGGAAGAGTGAAACCGACATCAGATGGGATTCTACTGTGTAATTGGTTTTCTGCAATAGACAGAAAAGTGAGGGATGAAAGATTGAATATAGAAAGTGGAACACTTCCCGACAAGTTGCTATCAATAAGTTGCAACT